GCCCCTTTATGTCCTTTTTTAACATAAACAAACAGAAAAAAATCCCACTTATTTACTCTGTGTGTGGGATGCATCATGAAGGTCAGAGATCAGCTCGCTAGAGTTGGATCTCTCCATCCACCCTGTGGGTCCCGAGGATCAAACTCTGGTTGTCAGGTATGGCAGCAAGTACCTTTCCCGTTGAGCCATTTTGCTGCCCCTCTCTCTTAGTCTTTAATCTGGAATCACTCTACAGTATGCCAATGTGCTTTAGGGTACATAAGAATGCTGTTTACATACATGACTTTTCTTTTTGAAAAAGAATTTTTTAAAAAAAAATTCAACATTTGAAACTTTTTTTTTTTTTAACTCACAGGGTCTTACTTTGTATCTCCACCTGACCTTGAATTGCATTAATTCTCTTGCCTCTCCCTCCTGAGTATTGGGATTATAGGTATCCACTATACTTGGCTGAAACTTCTTTTAAAAATATTGATGGATAGACTTGTGTTGCAATAATGCCCTTAAGGTCAGAAACTAAGTAATCCAGCTCCAGATTAAGGGCGTTACTGAATACTAGTGTCTCCTGGATAAGACATTTTACCTGGGAAACGAGGATACCGAGGATCACAGAGATGGCTTCACTGTTAAAGGTGCTTGTTGCCAAGCAAGGATAGAACCAGCTCCCTCAAGTTGTCCTCTAACCTCAAAGTCCACACCACAGCACATAGGTGTTCCCTTTCCTTGCAAACTAAATAAATGTAATTTTAAAAATGAGGATACCAGAACTGGCTTATAGGATTGAGAGGTGAAAGCCTGCAGATCCATCACTGAACACAGTGTCCTGAATGCAGTCCTCAGAAAATGCTGCTGTTCCTCATTCCACTAAGTAGATTCACTGGGAACGTTTGGCAGTAGCTGCTGTGGCCGCCTTGTCTTGTCTTTCCTTTCCCCACCCTTATCTTCACATCCTAGCTGTAGAGCATCAGGAACATACTAACAGTTTGTGCCAGGCTTAGGCTGGCAAGCAGTGCCCTTCAAGTGCCCCCTTGTGCTAGTCGGTGAGCTCAAACCGTTCCCCTGTCCAAAATTCTGAATAGAGAAGTAAATTCCTGTGTGCTAAGTATTCAAGTGTGTTTTAGGAAGTTATATAGTTCTTTGTGTCTTGTTTTTGTTTTTTTGGGTTTTTTTTTTTTTGGTGTTAAAATGTGCTTTTGTGTGCTAGGTGGTGTTGGTGCACACACCTTTAGTCCCAGCACTCGAGAGGCAGAGGCAGGTGGATCTCTGTGAGTTCGAGGCCAGTCTGGTCGACAGTGAGTTCCAGCCAAGGCTGTTACACAAAGACACCATGTCTTGAAAAAAGAAAAAAAAAAGTGCTTTTGTAAAATGGTATTAGATGACTTTTAATTTAAAAAAAAAAAAAGGAAAAGAAACCGAGCCTATCAATTTCCAAATATTTCTGCACATGTTGGTGGTCTATGTCAGTCAAGGAAATTTCTCTCCTCAATCATGAAAGTCTGGCTTTGAATAATATCTAAAAATTCATTAATTTAGTTATTAAGTGACTGGATTTTTATTGACTTCCTCCTGAATGCCAGGCACTCTGCCAGGTGGTCCACCCATCACCTCTTCTTCCCATAGCTAGTCCTATGAGCTGTACACATAATTTTCCCTGCTTTCAATAAGAAGAGCGATATGGAGGTCACATAGCTCCCAAATATATGCAGCCGTGAGCAGTGTAAGACAGCTAGACCCAGCTCTCTGCTTCCAGAGGCCCTCGGTATTCTTTTCTGTTAGGTGATCAGCCTATGTGCTTTGGACCTGTAGGATTTTAGTATAGAATTCACAAATCTGAAAGTTCATGAGTATCCTTTTGGGGAGATGGTAGGGAGAAACGGTCTCCTGGACTTTGCTGTGTAACCAAGGATGACTGTGGGCTTACAGACATGTGTCACCATGCCCAGTTTCATGTGGCTCTGGACGTCCAACCCAAGGCCTTGCGCATTCTGCATTCTGCCACCTAAGCTACATCCCCAGCTACTTCCATGAGCATCTTTTGTTGTTGTTGCTGTTTTTTTTTTTAAAGAAAAATGAAAGAAGTTGATTTATTAAGAAAAGTGAGGGGCTGGAGAGATGGCTTAGTTGTTAAGAGCACTCACTGGCTACTTCTCCTGAGGGCCAGGTTCAATTCCCAGCACCCACATGGTGCTCACCCCTGTCTGTAACTCCAGTTCCAGGGCTTCTGACACCCCCGCACAAACATACATGAGGCAAAACACCAGTGATCATCAAAGAGAGAAAAGTGAGAAAACTTCTGAGAGTGGGAGGGGTCCAAGGAAGAATCATGAGTATCTTCTTAATGAGTGAATGCTATAAAATTTAGCTAGAAGAATCGGGTGGTACACACCTCTAATCCCAGCACTCAGGAAGCAGAGTCATACATATCTCTGAGTTTGAGACCAGCCTAGACTACAGAGCAATTCAGGACAGCCAGGGCTACACAGAGAAACCCTCTCTGCAAAAGAGTAGAGCACAACAAAACAAAAATTAGCTCGTAATAGAGGGTCATTTTAAAAACCATGAGCAGCTCTATAGTGCAAAGTATGGAGACATTTCCTGTGCTATAGACAGTATTCATTTGGACAACAGGTGGGAATTTCTCATTTTTGGTGACTCTGAAATTAGGAGTGAAACTCACCTTACCTAGGTAGGTTATTCAGTTTAGTTCCGACTGTAGGGCTGTCAATCTGCTGCCCTGTGAATTTGTGGCTATGCAAGAAACACTTAAAATGCCTAACTAGGAGTGGAAAACGAGCTGGCATTCAGTGACTGACTGCTATATGAGGTTAAGAGTTAAAGGAATAGTATGAGTTGCTAAAGCAGATGGATTGTAGCTTTGGGGCCCTGGGGCCCAGTGTCATCTAGTGCAGAATTTAATTTTGTCTGCGTGTTATGGGCTTCCTGAGGTCAAGGATGTAGCTCAATTAGAAAGCTTCTATGACATTCAGGAAGCCCTAGATTTGACCCCCAGAGCTGCATTGACTGCACGCACATTCTTTATTCCCACCATTTGGGAAGTATAGGTAGAGAGATGAGAAAGAGTCATCCTTACTCAGAGAGTTTGATGCCAGCCAGGGCTACGTGAAACTCTGTCCCAAAACACAAAAACAAGAATGAATCCCTGTGTCCCACTCTAGATGATGGTGAAATTCCTCTATGGGGGTACCCTTGTATGATGAAAGGTCCTCCAGTTGACTTGGGCACAGCACACCACCTGGCTCTTCCTGGATGATCAGATGACATACACCAGCTTTGGGAAGAGTTGGGCACCTGTGACTAAGAAATGCTGTCCTAGGCATTCTAAAATTCTAAATTAAACTTGTGATTAGAGGTGATAAATGAAGCAAATCTTGGAGTCATCAGAGCACCCCAGGGCATTTTTTTAATCCCTTCCTTTCCTTAATTGTTCTCTGAAGTTACAAGCTTTCTCAGAATCCCATTTCTGTTAATTGCTTAATAACACGCTGGCAATTACCTTGCTCTAAATGACAGTTGCACAAGAGTAACTTTATGGTGTTTTATCATCCTTGGATGGACAAATGCCTCTCGGGTCCTGTTTACGTTCTGCCAGTGGTTAACAACTTCTGCAAAGCTGCTCTGCCCTCCCCCCACCCGCCCACCCATGAGACCTATATGCTGTCCTGTGCCTTGTCTTTCACCAGCCTCTTCCTTACTAGCTGGATTTCAGATACATCTGTCTTCTCTGAGTTCTCAACGTGCCAACCTCTTGTTCTTAACACATCAGATCAGATGTTGGATCCTTGGATCCCTCTAACCACTGGGTCCCATCAGAACAGAGTTCCCTTGTCCATTGTGTTGCCTTTTTTTCACCATAGCAGTTATCATTGTCTGAAATAATTTTATTTATTTATTTTTCTTTGGTTTTTCGAGACAGGGTTTCCCTGTGTATCAGTCCTAGCTTTCCTGGAACTAGCTCTTGTAGACCAGGCTGGCCTCGAACTCACAGGGATTCATCTGCCTCTGCCTCCCGAGTGCTGGAATTAAAGGCATGGGGCCACCACCTCCCGGCTGAAATAGTTTTATTTATGTGCTTGCTTTTTACTAAATTTTATTTATCTGCCTCTCCCACTCTGGGTTAGCCCTGTGAGAGCAGATACCAGTCCGGGCTGTTTCCCACTGGACCCAGCATTTCAAACAGTACTGGCTCTTACCATAAGTGCTCACTAAGGATGAGAGGAGTGAATGCTTTGGGGTCCCCTTCCCCCACCTATGAACCAGGCTGAGCTGAGCCTGTACGGGTTTCTCTCAATGCTGGTAGTTTAGAGCTGTGGAAGTTTGCTGAGGCAGAGCTAAAGTGCCCTCAAGCCCAGTGGTTTTCCCACGTTGCTGGCTGCTGCACTCCGCAGAGCTTCACCCTGCCCCGGGTTGTAGGCTGGAGTGACAGCAGTTATTTGGGAATGGATGTCGTGAGGCTCAGTTAGAGGGTGTATGATCCCTTTGGATTAGAGTTAATTTCATGGTCTCATACAGTGGGAATTTTGTCTTCGGGCAGGAGCTGTATCCTGAGACCCTGAGAAGACATCTCAACTTTAGAAGAGTGTAGTCTTGTCTCTCTCTTTGCTATAGAAATACAGTGGTCTGGAAGACAACCCAGTTGTGTTTGGGCACAGTGCAAGATGGTGTGTTTCATAAAGTTGCTGGAAGCCCCAGGCCCCTCCATGGGGTAGACACCCCTTTGTAGTAGCCTCCCTTGGGAATCTGGTGGTGGTGGTACCAGACAGCCTTACAAAAGCGCAGACATCTGTGCGTTTACTCTGACACATATTGTGAGAGTCAGGAACTTGCTGGGTGCCCTTTGTGGACCCTAGAATTCTGTCTGGGCATTTAGGTTGGGAATTTATCTGCCACAGCAGGGTCACAGCTCTTCCAAGGCTCTTTCTTTCTGACTTGGTCTCCTGTGTTCTGTGTTGTTTCTGTAATAACCTGCTGGACCCTCTCAGGCCCAGAAGAGGCGCTATTCTCCAGGAGTCCAGGTATCCGATTCTTGACTCACCATGGTCTTCCCTCATTCTCATATGTCCATCTGACATTTCTTGCTGCTAAGAGTCCATGTGGCTGTTGTCCCAGGAATTCCAAGTCTCTGGTCTTGACTGCATTTCCTCCTTGCATGTTCACTGGGACAGTGTGGAGCTTGTCCAAGGAGCAGCATGCCTTGTGTCCCCGTCCCCCCCCCCCCCCCCCCCCCGCATCGCCCTGCCCCTCTGCATTGACTTGCACTGGGATCATTCTGGAATGGTAGCTCAGCAGTTGTGAGGAAGTTTACTTCTACAGCTCTGTTGGAGAGAAGGCACCTCAAGAAGTAAAACCCAAGTTGCTAACATGGAGATGTTTTAAGTTTTCCTTTATGGGGGATGTTGCCCTCTTACTATTGGCAGTCTTGGAAGTTATGTGTGGCTGGGCTGAAAGTTTTGACTACGAAAAGTTGTTGTGGCTAGAGAAGCCCACCAGAGCCTGTTCCAGCAGAGCTTTCTGGATTCCACTTCATTTAGCATCATACACTGGTAGGGTAGAGTCTAAAAGGAGCTATCCAGACTGGAAAGGTTTCCCTGCCCACTCAAACAGGTATTTTCAGAATACCTGCTGTGTGCAAAACCTTTGCTTGGGCAGAGGGATAGGGCTGAAGTGGAGACCTGGAAGATGATTTCCTTTTCTTTAAGCAGCAGCTGGGGAGAAAGGTATCTGCCCATTAAGAGGAAACTGCTAGCATTTAAGAACCAAATTATGATAGCTGGGAGGAATAGAGCCAGTCTCCAGAGTCTTGCAGGGCCACTTCAGGTCTGCCCGAGGCCTGGAGCAAGGAGAATTACTAACATCATGTGGAATTCAGTGCTTCCTGGGTCCGTGTCCCTTGCATGATCATCTGTTTGTGGGTGCTGGGGGTGGCGCTTAAGATGAGGCAGGGTGACCTCTGCTGATCCAAAAGGTGCTTGTTTCCTCTCACGATTGTATAGGCATTGCTAAGAGCTCTTCCTCACTGTCTGCTTTTCCCTCCCTGTGTCCCAGCGGGTATTCCCCTACATCTCAGCCATGGTGAACAACGGCTCCCTCAGCTATGATCATGAGCGGGATGGGCGGCCCACAGAGCTTGGGGGCTGCACAGCCATTGTTCGCAATCTCCGTTATGACACCTTCCTCGTGATTCGCTATGTCAAGAGGCACCTGACGGTGAGTCCTGTCCTGGAGCAGTTGGTGATAGACACTACCCTTGCTCCGGTGGCCTGTCCCTGATATATCTTTCCTTTGTTCTAGATAATGATGGACATTGATGGCAAACATGAGTGGAGGGACTGCATTGAGATGCCTGGGGTCCGGCTTCCCCGGGGCTATTACTTCGGCACTTCCTCCATAACCGGGGATCTCTCTGGTATTACACTGTGTTTTCTTTTTTTTGTTTTGTTTTGTTTTTTCGAGACAGTGTTTCTCTGTGGATTTGGAGCCTGTCCTGGAACTAGCTCTTGTAGACCAGACTGGTCTCGAACTCACAGAGATCCGCCTGCCTCTGCCTCCCGAGTGCTGGGATTAAAGGTGTGCGCCACCACCGCCCGGCTTACACTGTATTTTCTGTTTTCTTAGTTGATCCCTTTGGTCAGTCCCGAGTGCTTGATGAGGCCTCTCTGAGGAGAGCCAATTGAAAGAGCTTTGGGAAGCCATGCATATGGCTTAAGAATGCTGTACATTTTTGTCTAGGTCCTGTAAAAACTCCAACCCAGGCTCTCTTGCGACAGTTGTGTGCAGGAACTAACTTAAGCAGTCTTAGGTTAGTTGCGCTTGTCTAGCAGCTCTTCCAGCTGATGTGAATGCCTTGCTTCCCTGCCTCTTTGGCCTTCCTACTGCCAGTCTTCTCTCCTGCACTTACTACTGGACCCAGTTCCCCCCCTCACAGAGCTGCACTTCAACTCCAGCATCCCTCTCCTGACCAACCTCCAGTCCCTCTTTATTCAGACTTTTGAACAGAGCATATGCCCAGTTTGCCAGCCGTCTGCCTGCTCCCGAGCTGGGCTTGTTGCTTGCCATGCACAGTGCTCTTGTCCTCACCATTCTTAGGCCATTCCAGCTCATTTCACCTGCATTCTGAAATGCTAACCTTCCTTGACTGACACGGTAACGCTCTACCTAGTTTTGGGCCAGGCAGGCAATTAAAAAAAAAATCATAAATTTCTAACCTGTAGAAATATAGTTTTGTCGTTGTTAGTTTGTGTGGCTTTTAGTTGTTTTAGTTTTAAGACAATCTTGCTTTGTACTCTGACCCTGAGCCAATGATACAATCTGTCCCCCCCCCCCCCCCCAGACAGGATTTCTCTGTGTACCTTTGGAGCCTGTTCTGGAACTCACTCTGTAGACCAGGCTGGACTCAAACTCACAGAGATCTTCCTACCTCTGCCTCCCAAGTGCTGGTGTTAAAAGCATGCACCACCACCGCCCAGCTCTTCCTCCACTTTCTATGTGTTGGGATTATAGGCACCATACCTAGCACTGTCTCACTTTTCTTATTCAAGAACTTGTTGAGAAAGTTCAAATAGCTCTCAGCTGTCCCAGGCTTTGATGTCCACACACTGTAGAGAGCTTTACCGTGGCTTTGTTTCGAAGGAAGGAAGGACAGAAAGGCAAGGGAAAGGAAAAAGGAGGAGGCCAAGGCAGGTGGTTCTCTGAGTTTAAGGCCAGCGTGGTCTACAGAGTGAGTTCCAGGGCGGCTAGGGCTCCAAAGTGAGACCCTGTCTCAAAAAAATAAAATTAAAAAAAAAAAAAAGAAAGGAAGCAAAGAAGGAAGGAAAGAAATAAAAGAAAAGAAAAGAAAGATGAACTGGGCTACATAGCAATTTCAGGTCAGTTTGAGCTACAAAATGAAACCCTGCCTCGAAAGGAAAGGAAAAAAGGGAAGATCTTTTTTTTTTTTTTTTTTTTTTTTTTGGTTTTTTGAGACAGGGTTTCTCTGTGGTTTTGGAGCCTGTCCTGGAACTAGCTCTTGTAGACCAGGTTGGTCTCGAACTCCTAGAGATCCACCTGACTCTGCCTCCCAAGTGCTGGGATTAAAGGCGTGTGCCACCACCGCCCGGCGGAAGATCCATTTTCTGTGTAACTTCTTTTGATGTTTTATTTCTTTGTTTTGTGAGAGAGACTATGTAGCCCAGGCTAGCCCAGAACTTGCCATGTAGCCAAGACTAGCCTTGAACTCGGGATCTTTCTACCTCAGCCTCTTAAGTGCTGAGACTACTTATGTGCTACCATACCTGGCCTGCCCTGGCTTTTTATCCTGACCTGGAGTTTAAGCTTGGTTCTGACAGTGAAAACATTTTCCAAATGAAGATGAAGGTAGTTTCTTCTGCTCTGGATGTTGATGGCAGTAGCAGACCAAGGGGCTAGGATGTGGCCCTAGAAATGATCAGAAATTCAGGCTAGGCTCAATATCAGTGCTCAATATTAGTCCCCACTGAAGTGGGCAGAGCTTCCTCAAGGGTTAGTTGACAGCAGATCTAAACATCTGAGAAAAGCCAGAAAGGCCATATGTGATGGCACACACATTTAGTTCCAGCCCTCAGGAGACGGGCAGATGGATCTCTGTGAGTTCCAGTACAGCCTGTCTCAACCAGCCAAACAAACAAATTCTTAAAAAGCCCCAAACCAACTTAACAACAACAACAAAAACATTAAAAAGAGAAGTCAAGTACAGTGGCTCACACCTACAATCCCTGCATTTTAGAAGGCTGAGACGAGAAAGTCACAGGCTTGCAGTCAGCAGCCTGGCCTACATACTAAGACCCTGTCTCCTAAAACCAAGCAGAGACCAAACAAACAAATGAGAGAACCAGGGCCTGGGAATGGTGTCAGACACCTGTAATCCCAGTACCCAGGAGGCTGAAGCAGGAGGCCCATCAGTCAAGGCCAGCCTGTACTGCACTGCAAAACTCTGCCTTACACACTAGAAGTTATGCACATAAACTTGTTTTATGAAATCCAGTCTCTAGTTTAAGAAATCATGTTTCTAGTTTCTTGGTCTCCTTTCTAGTAGCATTAGGGAGATCAGGGTCAGGATTCCAAACAGACACAAAGAAGCAAAGTCTGTAAGGCAGCATCTTCCAAGTAATGTTGTAATTACTCAAGTAATTATTCACTCACGTGACATTGCCTTGACCAAGACCCGTTAAACAGATGGTAGGAGAGTATTTCTCCTCTCCGCCTCTCTGTGTGCATGTGTGTGCTTATACTCGACCGAGAGAAAGCTGCAGTGCTGCTGTGTCTCCTCGTACTACCAAAAGGTCTCAATGTATGATAGAGGATTTAATTATCTTTGTACTTTTTAAGGTTTTGAATTATATTTGTGTGTATGTGTATTATAGGTGCATGTGTATGCAGGTGCCTACGTAAGCCACAAGAGGACACTAGATCCTCTGGATCTGGAGCTGCAGATCGTTCTGAGCCATTTGATGTGGATGCTGGGAACTGAACTCTGGTCCTCAAGCCAGTGCTCCTAACCACTGACACATCTCTCTAGCCCTAGTTATTTTCAATATTTTTGGTTTTTATTATATAATAGATATTTGCCAGCAAAATACATAGAATATATTCAATTTCTTATTCTTTTAGATGAGAAAATGATGAGGCTTTAACTTTTTTTTTTTTAAGTTTGTTTTTTGTTGAGTTTTGCTGTTGTTGCTTTTGAGATACAGTCTCACTGTGTAGCCCACACTGGCCTAAGTCTCAAATATGTAGACCAAGTTAGCCTTGACTTTGTGTCAGTTCTCCTGTTTCTGCCTCTCAAGTGCTAGAATCACAGGCATGTGCCATCACAGGGCCTCATATGACACTTTCATCCGTGTGTGTCATTGTCCTTCCTTAGCCCTTATTCACTGGCCTGGTTCCCCGTCTTCTTGCCCCTTCTGCTAGTTCTCTCTCCCTTATATTGTCCTTTTGCATTTGTGTTCTGTATTTAAATCTAGATTCCCATATGAGAGACGACATGCTATATTTGCCTCCCCCATCACCATGTCTCACTTCCACCTCCCTTCTGTTAGTCCCCTTGCTCCCCTGAAATAGTTCTTGTTCTGCTTTAGATGTCCAGGTTGCGTCAAGGCATTGCTGTCAGTGGATAGAGGAGCTTGGATCAGAGACTTGAGCCAAGGTACTAACTCCAGAAGCCCTCATGTTGAGGCAGCTGAAGTAATCCTCTGTACTCTCTCCTGTAGATAATCATGATGTCATTTCCCTCAAGTTGTTTGAGCTGACGGGGGTGAGGACCCCAGAAGAAGAAAAGCTACATCGAGATGTATTCCTGCCCTCAGTGGACAATCTGAAGCTGCCTGAGAGTGAGTGTGGGATCCTGGGAGATGGTGCATGGTCAGGGAGGAGGTTACAATGTTCATGGATTCCGGGGTGACTGGCACCTACAGCTGTCGGGTTGGTGTTTTGGTGCTCCTCTGGAGGCCTGCACCACCTTCCCACCTGTCCTGTTACAGCTGCTTCATTTTTAAATTGAGTCATCTAGAAAGGGGGAGTTAGGGCTTGGGCTCCCCAGAAGTGGGGTCAGAAACCAGGAACTGGACAGCTGTTGACCCATTGTTGAATGGGCTCCACATCTCTGATTGTTTTATTTTTCTTTTGCTTCCTCAGTGACGGTACCACCAGCACCCCTGAGTGGCCTGGCCCTCTTTCTTATCGTCTTTTTCTCACTGGTGTTTTCTGTGTTTGCCATTGTCATTGGTATCATACTCTACAACAAATGGCAGGACCAGAGTCGAAAACGCTTCTACTGAGCCTGCTGCCATCATCCCCTCTATGATGTTCACCCATGAGGTGTGGGTCTGAGCATACAGCCTGGCAAGTCTGCTTGAGTCGCCAGTTGTTCAGGGACCGTGTTCCATCACTGGGGCTCTGAATGCACTGACCCTGCATTCTCATGGTCATCCACGGGAACATCTCACTGGCCCCAGACACCACCCACAGGGCCGAGCAGCTGTGATGTGCCTTCCCTGCAGTCCTTACACTTAGGAGTGAAGAGACATGGAAAAAATATATATTGTGATGCTTAAATTACAAAAATCGGATAGCTACCCTAAGGATAGACTGGATGCAGCAGGCCTTCTACTTCTTTTAAATTTCCAAATAGAAAACCAGAACTCATATAACCTGGAAACCCACTTATTAGTTTTTGCTTCTGCCCATGGCTCTTTCTACTTGAGCTTCTTGGCAATCGGGATGGAGATATCTGCCTCTCTGTGTCCCTTCACTCGTCCTCCGTGTGTGCATCCTGAGCTAGGAAAGAAGTCTGCTGCTCTGCATTAGCTCCTTGCTTCAGCCTCTGGTCTGCGCTGGGTGGATCTTGTTCCATTCCTGTCTATCCCTGCATCTTCAGCTTTCCTAATTGGAGCTCTCCAGGCCTTTGGATCATTTGGCTAAAAGTTGTTACAAATGAAGTGAAGCTTAGACACCGTCACAATCACAGATGCCGTGAGATTAGCTGTGACATCATCTAGGCCCAGGTGTGCCACAGAAAGCTGCATTCGTCTCCTCTGACCACGCGGAGGTGTTTCTGGACCCACTGGAGCCTGCTTAGCTGCATGTTTTGTTTCTCATGATTCTTAGGATCTTGCTTGGAGGATTTGAAGTGGAAAGCAGCTCCTTATTCCCTGGACTTAGACATGACCCCAAGAGGAGATTTGGCTTCTTAATGAGGAGCAACAGTTGCTGATTTCATGTAACAAATCTCTGAGAGCAAAAGACCTTCGTTCTCTGTCTGGCAAAGTCCTGATCACTGAGCAGCACAGCTTGAGTGTGGTCCTATATGTGTGTCACCCCTATTACACTGCCTTATTCTACAAATGTCACATGCTGCTCACCTATCTGCCCTGTGATTAAATTGGTTACAGGCTAGTCTCCTTGGAGGGCCTGAAACTGAGTTTTCTGGGTCTTTGAAGCCCAAGGAAAATTCTTAAAGTGACTGATGGAACCAATCATGAGTCCTGGCTCAGTGGCCTTCTTCTGGGGTAGGCTTAGTGGGGAGGCGCCAGCCTGTTTTCTGAGCCTCAGATATATCAGCTCTTACCCTGTCCCTCCTGGGTGACTGGGAAAGTCCTCATGCTCATCCCTAGACTAGGAGGAGGGGTCACTTTGGCTGCAGATGGGTGTTCATCTTCTTAGGCCTCTGTCTTTCCTGTGTGTTTAAGCAGGATACTATGTTGCCCTTCTGCAAGAGAGAGGAAGTGCAGAGAGCCCCCTCTTAACAATTTCCCACAATAGCAGAATAGCTCAGGGGAGCTAGGGGATGAACTGGGATATAGAGGTTGGCTTTAATACCAGGAGAATGTCAAGAAATTAAGTTAGTTTTGTCCACTTTGAGTCCAAAGGGAAGGCGGAGGGGTGGGTGTGGTTGTGGACCTAAGTGAGCTGTTGAGAAGACTACCATAGCAGTGGGATTGAAGGATTTGATCACGGAGGAGTGAGAGATAGCATGGGTTGGGTTTGTGTGATTCCTGCTCATGAGCACCTGGATGCCTTGAAAGAAGGCCAGAGGATTGATCTGTGGTCCCAACATAGCCTGGGAACTAGTCTTTTCCCATTTGAGAAATGTATAAGAAAACTGCCTGTGCCGGGCAATGATGGTACACGTCTTTAATCCTAGCACCCAGAAGGCAAAGGCAAGTGGATCTCTGAGTTCAAGGCCAGCCTGGTCTATACAGCAAGTTCTAGGACAGCTGTGACTACACAGAGAAACCCTGTTGCGGCAAACAAAAACAAACGGAGGGAGGGAGGGAGAGAAACCACCTGCTCAGCATCATGCATCCTGCCCCAGCTCTTGCTTTTGTTGCAGAAACAATGATTTCTGTGGCGAGTAAGGCTATTTCTCTGGGCATTGTAACTCCAGAGTGTGTACTGGATGAGGTAGTGCCTGGTCCCTGGTGTGGCTCTAGTGCACTCGTACTTGGGTATATGCCATGGCCTCAGCATAGGACTCAACAGTTAACCCTTCCCTTATTTTCTCTGTCCCAGGACTAGATGGGGTGACTAAATGTGGCATCGTTCCCCAAGTCTCAAATAAAGACCTGGCATTTTCAGCCTTTCACATTGTCTTTAATCCCAACCCCCAAGTTCCAAGGTAACTTTGTTAGATAAACATATTTATTTTGGTAGAAAATTAACAGCTCTGCTCTTGTGAGAAGTGGTCTCTAAACATTTGAGTCAGAATACGCACGGTCCCTTGGACGTGTCCTTGAAGACTCAAACAAGGATCTGCTAGGAAGCCGAAAGGATAGGGTGCTTGCTCGGCAGGTGAGAGAGAAGTCAGGTCACCTAGCCTTGTGGAGCTGGCATCTCTGGGATGACATCTCTCATTTGTCTCCTGGATCCTTGGAGGAACGTTGGCCCGTGGTCTTTTAAAGGATGTAGTTTCGAGCCGTCCATGCTAAAGACGGAAGAGTTGATCCTGCTGGTGTTTACTGAGCCGATGAGGTTGACGATTTTAATGGGGGGGTTCAGCCGAAGTTCAGGTTTGATCCAGGCCATGGCCAAATAGTTCTAGAGAGAGAAGAGATACCAGAGTAGCCTAAAGTAGAAACCTAAGTGTACTCTCAGAGCGGACACAAGAGTGGCCAGTGCCTTTGTCCTTTCCCCAGTGGTTAGCACTCACCGGAGCCGAATAGACGAAGTTGAACAGTATAATCCCTACAGCCAGTATCACTGAAAGGCATATGATTTTGTAGCGGTAGCGTTTGCAGAAAACATAGCAGAAGTTTTTAATAGGTGACCGGTACCACAAAAGAGAGGAGTCATTTCGTCTGCCCATGACAGTGGATGCCAGAGAATGGAAGGCAAGAGGAACCTTCAGATCAAGTGACCCACAGCCTTTGGTCTTTTCTGTAACAGGTTGGGGAGCCCCTTATACCCAACCCCATGTCTTATTTCCTGACTATAGCTTAGCCATGTAGGAGGAAGTAACTCTCCCTTTCCACATGGAGGCCAACCAGTCACCACCACAAAGGGGGAGGAATGATGGGCTTGGTGCCTGTGCCTCACAGGGCCCTTACATGGGAGGATGGAGTGTAGGGAACTGGTTGGGTTCTGATTGGCCTCGCCCGGCTGGCCTGATTAATGCCTCCCTCTCTGGCAAAATCTCCAGGGTCATCTTCACTTTACCCTAGAAATGCCAAAGACAAAGGGGCAGGGGCTGCTCTGCTTAGACAGTAGGGGCAAGGTCATCTCAGAACCACTTCCCCACCGCTGCAAAGCAGAGGAGCTTTGACTAAGGTCCTGGAAGTCTGCGAGAGCTAGGTTAGATGGCATCACGCTCCTAGTCACTAAACACCTTCCCCAGCTCCTACCGACAAACGCCACTTTTCACCGTCGTGGACCTGACAAGGCCACCATCCAGTGACGTTGGTCTTCTTAAAGAGAGAGAAACGCTTCTGTTGCGTGGAGGGCCTTTTGGAGTCAGTTTCCAACATCTTGAGGGAACATTGCTTGCTCCTCTCAGCCGGAAGGGGCATGTCCGTTAAATCCAGCTCCAAGACCCCTGAGCCCAGACAAAGGCCGTCATCAGCAAGAAGACTTGCTTATCCGGTGTCACACCCTACACCAGGACCTCACCTAAGAAGTCATCAGGGGAGAAGAGGTCATTGTCCCATATCTGGATGATGAGCCGGGCTGGAAACTTCTGCGATGTGGGATCCAGGCTCCATATGTAGTCCTGGAGGACAGCAGAAGGCTGTGTTATGGCCTGCCTCATGGACAGTCAGTAACGACAGACTATCAAGGAAGAGGGGCTCTGCCTTGCCTAAGGACATGTCCCTAATGTCCTGTCACAGCTTGCAGGTTTCTGAAACAATGGTGAATCGCTTGGACCCTAAGGCTCTTCCCTTGTTTTCTCCTCCCCATCCCTTACCTTCTGGCTTTGGACGCATACACGCTCTGTGACCAGGTAGTCCATGGTGAAGATGAACCTCCAGTTGAAGACGGCCGCCCCAGTCAGGGAGTGGTAGTGGACATCTGTCTTCTGCATGTCCTTCTCTAGCCCAAATAGCCACCTGGAGCCAGAGTCTTTTCACCTGGGGCTCCTGTGTGTGGTTCCCATCCCACCACACACAAGTGGTGGCAGAGAGATGTTTCCCTCAGGACTAGGAGGCTCCAGCAGGGTGACAGAACCAGAGAACTAAGGGAGAACTTCTGGAGTCGTGTTCCCCGCCCCCAGCCTCACCCTTTGACGTAGATGTCACTCATCTTCTCTCTACTTAAGGTCTGACGAACCAGGTCCACTTGGGAGGTACTCCAGATGATGCAGCGCACTTCGTACCTGTAGCCGCTATGCTCTGAGGCCAGGCTGAGGACCACCCCCACCGCCACCCAGACCCCAGCCACAGCCCTGCAGAGGGAGCCTGAAAGTGGGCAGGAAAGCTCCTTCGAAAACTGATAGAGAATCCCCACCGCCTGGGATTGGAGGCTCCCTGCACCCTAGGGGCTGAGCTGGAGCACCATGATTAGGAACTGGGATCCCATATACTTACCGTTTAGGCTTCCTGGGGCTGATGTTGACTCGGGGGCCAGGAGGCCCCAGCATCTTGGGGAAGATATCCACCCACATTTGTATTTTCCCCTAGAGCCAGAATGGGTTTGCAGGTTGGAGGTTGCTGGTCTCCCTTCCATTAGGTAGCATGAGGTTCTGAGGCTTGGATGAGGGGCGGGGCCTGGAGATTGCTGGGAGGTGGCAAGTGATCACCTACCAGCTCCTTTAGTTTTGGCTAGGAAGGCAAGTGAGCGAGGGTGAAGGGTGCTGGCTCTGAGACTAAGAGTGGCTGTTGTGAGATCACTTATGTCCTGGGGGTAGGGCGTGAGGAGGACATGCTGGGTGGCCTGTTGATGGGGATCCGTGTTGGGGTTGGGCCTCATGTATTCAGTACCATGCAAGCCTTAAGTTGGATGGTCAGTAAGGTTATTCTGTGTTGTGTGGCCACAACCTAAGGTTATTATGCTGGCCACAAAGTAGAGAGTCCTGAGAGAAAGAATTAGTGGTGAAAATGGTAAGTAGAGGAAGGGAAAGGGTGGTGCCACCAGCCTTAGAAAATAGGTAAATACGTCCTGCCTGTCCAGCCACCTGACCTACTTTTATTCTTCCACGTTGACCCATTTGAGAAAGCCGGTTTAATGAGGATGGTTATTTTAAAAATTGCTCAGCAGAAGACTTCACGAATGGGAAATATTTGTGGAACAATGGAGTCATTTTTATAGTTGGACAATGAGCCATAATTAAGGTGCCCTTGCGGGAGCTGTGACCTAGGTTCCTTCATATAGGGAAGACAGTCTGAGTTAAGCAGCTCGAACTGGGTTTTGCAGTGTTTGTGCCTTCTGAGCTATGCTGCCCCCTCCTACACCTCAGGAGAGCAAATTTGTGGTACTAGTGGTTGGTGGGACACCCTAGAGCGTCCCACACTGTTGTGAGGCTTCCATTTCTTACAGCCTTTCCAGGCGTCACTTTCTCTAAGTAACATCATTGGAGCATCTTTCTTGCTAATGTGCAAAACATGTTGACCTGCCCTTGCTTCTCACTGTGAACTATGTCCTGAGTGGATGGACACCCATTTCCTTATCCAGTGCAATCCGTAGGAGGCAGGAGCAGCCCCTCTGTCGTCACATACCTGGTCGATACCTGGCTGACTCTTACTGTACAGTGTGCGGGTCTCCACATGCTCAGGAACCAGGCCCTGGGTGTTCAGGATATACAGTGCCAGGCGTTCTTTCTTAGGCCCCAAACCCTCAAAGGTAGGGGGTGTGGACTCTGGATGGAAGATGGGATCATGAGGTCATTAGCATTTCCATCTGAGCACCCTCCCCAGCCCTGCCTGGATATCTGGCTATAGTAGCCTTCTATGAGAAGAAAAGGAAAAACTGGAAAGATGTTGTTGCTCTTCTACCCAAGGGCACCCTCTCCTCATCCTGCCCTCTTCTCTCTCTGCACTCATTCATTCTAGGGTCTACACTGGTTCCCCAGAGCCACACCTTAGCTGTCTGGAAGTGTCCTGGGCTCACCAAAGCTCTGCAACCTGAACGTTTTCCCATTGTAGACAATTGAGTCATCGTCAAGGTCAAATACAGGTGGAGGCAGCCCTTTCTGTTTGGCATAGCGGTCCAGGAGGTAGCTTGGGGACAGCTGATCCCGCCACCTAAATGGCCCTGACCTGTGGGAGTATGCAAGAGGACCAGATAGGAAGGAACAGGTCTTTCAGGGGAAGGTGCTGGAAACAGAGAGAGAGGCAGGTCCAGCCCAGCTCTCCACCTCTCCTCAGGGAACTGTGGGCTCACACCTCCCCCTACACAGCTTGCTTGCTGAGTGGGTGGGTCCACACTCACTTGCAGTAGGATGTAGAGAGCCCACAGCGGGCTCCAAAGCCAGACAGAAGTCTGTTCTCAAGGTCAATCACCGTAGATCCAATCTCATCATCGGCAGTAACGAGGTCAAAGTCGTAGAGCTGGATCTCTAGGTCCTTCTCCAGTGGGATGTTACATGTGAGTTCATACATCCTAGAGACAAGGGGGTTGGAACGTGGCTGCGGACATGGATTCTGCCTCACTGGCCAGCATCTCAGAATGAGGGTCCCTGGCCCACCTCTTCATTCACAGTGAATGTGGGCAGCAGAGCATAGACTAGGCTTTTGTCCACCAGCATCCAGTCCCTGAACATGGCTAAAAAGTAACTTTTAAGACAGCCTGTGCATGGAGGCCCGAGTGCCTCTCTTTGGGTGTAGGTAGGGCGTGTGAAAAAGTGGCGGATTATCCACCTGTCTTGCACCTGTTTAGCCCCTAAGAACCACAGGGACCCTGGAGGCTCTGAAGAAATGCATCTGCCTATTGGAACTGCCTTCCAGCCTAGCATGGAGAACTAGAAAAACATCAGTGGGTGACTGGGGGCAGCTCACGTGCCAAAGATAGGATCCAGAGTGTTGGGGTAGTATAAGTCCCGGTTGCCGAGTTTAGTCTGCCCCAGTTTCAGGATCACGTAAGGGTCACACTGCAGGAGAGAAGCAGAGGGAAGAAAGGAAGGGGGACGTCAGTCAGGTTGGTCAGGAAGGATGAGAGTGAAGCAGATGTGTACTGCGTGGTGCCTTTAAGTGGTGGCTATGTGGGCAGAGCAGCCTGAAGCTACTGCAACATGGCTGTGAGCTAGGCATGGGGTGCGAAACACTGGTGACAAGTGGGACTTTATTTTATTTTATTTTTTTTTTTACCAGGCCATTGTAGTCCTGTGGCTGCAGGTTGATGGCTCGTATCAGGTATACCCGGACCATGCATGTCTGAGGGAAATCTTCAGTCTCAGGCCAAGATGAGAACTGTCGTGGGGGTTTGGGGGCATCTGGGTCCTCAGGAAAGGGGTAGATGCGGAACAGGCCCTGGGGGTGAGAAGATATTGGCAGCCCAACCTGGCAGTGCTAGCCTAACTTTGTAAAGCCACCCGCACAGCAGGGAGAGGGTTAGACTGAGGATGAGCAGCAGGGGTCTTTAGGCAGGGACGGAGTTTAAAGGGGCATTGGGCAAAAGCACTCAAAGCTACTTGGTGTCCCAGACTGTGATGGAACTGCACACTCATCCCTTTGGGTCTGAATATGTCTGAGGCGTGCATCTTTGGGGGACCAGCATGAGCTAGAGCTGGAAATCTGAAGGTCTTGCCTCCCTCCATCCCTGCCTGCATAGACTGACCTGTGTGTCTCTACTTCTGGGGCTGTTTCTCAGGCCCTGGCTCATCTTCCATGGGTGATAGAGAGACAGGTAGCTCAGCTGACTTAGACGCACCTTGAATTCCCCTACTACAGGACTGTCCACCTTGGGCTTCTCCTGGTAAAGTTTGAAGGTCTGGCAGAAATCCTGCAGGCCCTGGAAGGCCTGAACTGCCTCCAGCTCACAGTCGTACACCTGTGGGGGACAGATGCAGGACCTGGGCTGGTGAGGACCATCTTGGAAGTCAAGAGATGAAGGGATCACCAGCCCCCAAACTCTTTTCAAGTATTTTCCCAATCGGTAGCCCCACTGTCTGCTTCAGATGGAG